ATCTGTGGAGGGGGTGCTGTGGGGCATCTGTGGAGGCTGGAGGGCTGTGGGGCATCTGTGGAGGGTAGGGGGTGCTGTGGGGCATCTGTAGAGGGTAGGAGGTGCTGTGGGGTGTCTGTGGAGGGTAGGGGGTGCTGTGGGGTATCTGTGGAGGGTCAGGGAGTTCTCTGGGGGTCTGGGGCTGTGGAGACCTGCAGAGGGGTATCAGTTACCTCCCAGATCTCTGTTCCCACCCTGTACAGCAGGATCCCTCCCTCCCTCTTCCATCATACCCTCCCCACCGCCACACAAGCGCCCTACATGGGCAGTGCAGGCCGCTGCCTCCATCCTCCCTGTCCCGCCCCCCGCACAGGCACCCTCACCGGTACACCAGTGCCAGGATGTTGAGCATGGTGGCCACGTCCGGGTGGCAGTGGCCCGAGCTCCGCTCCAGGTCCTCCAGCGCCTGGCGGCACAGCGGCACCGCCACCTCGTAGCGGCCCTGCCCCGCGTACTGGATCACGAGGTTGTGCAGGGTCCGGAGGCGGGCTGGGATCTCATAGCCACCCTGCTGTGCCGCTGCCAACCCTGCCGCCTCGGCACCTGGGGGCGCAGGTCTGAGTCACGGCAGGCCTCTCCCTTCTCCGGCCCATGCACCCCTGGGACACATGCACCCCAGAACTGGGGTGGCTACAGATGCCTGGATGCCCGAATGCCCCTGGGACAGAGGCCCTGCACTGACTCAGACTGGGGTCACAGCCACCCTCCTAGTTGTAGGATGTGCCCTGGCTTGTGGCCACGCCTGGCCACGAGCCCAGGGCCACAGCCACCCTCCTGGCCCATGGCACTGAGGCCACAAGGCCGGTGGGATGTGAACATGGCTGCCGGCCTGGCCTTTGGGATCCCTGGACACCATGGCGGCTCACCTGCCCTGTAAAACTGTGGAACAGCCACCCATCTGCTCCATGGGACTGTGGCCACGGCTGCCCACCTGTCCTGTGAGACTGTCCATGGCCCTCTGCCTGGCCTCCCAGCCTCCAAACTCCCCTCCCACTACCACCCCAGCCCCCCAGCTTCCTGCTTCATTCTGCTGACTTCCCCACCCCCTGCTCAGAGCCCTGGGGCCCAGCCCATCAAAGCTCCCTCCCAGCCTCTGCCCTCCCCACACCCACCTTTCCTCTCCTCTTCCTCACTGGGGAAGAGCGAGGCCAGGCTGTCTCGGTCAGGCGGGGACTGGGGCTGCTGTGGGGAGGACAGAAAGTGGGACATCAGGAGGGGCAGGGGCTAGTTTCAGAGACCGGAGGTCCTGTATCTCAGGAGCTGAGGAAGGTGGTCATAAGCCTTGGGAGTCTCCTGGGGGTTGGGGAGGATCTGGGGGCTTTGTAGAGCAGTTATGGGGGCACCTGCAGAGGTTCTGGTGGACCTGGGAGCTGTGGGGCTCTGCAAAGGGTCAAGGGTTTTCTGTAAGGGTTTGAAGGACTAAGGCTCTGTAGAGGATAGGGGGCTGTGGGGATCTGGGGGAGGCTGGAGGGCTCTGCAGAGGGTTGGGGCTGTAGGATTCTGTAAAGGGTCAAAGGATTCTTTGGAATTCTGGGTGCTGTGGGGATCTGAAGAGGCTGGGGGGCTGTGGAATTCTCTGGAGGGTCAGGGGTTCTTTGGGAGTCTTGGGGAGGCTGAAGGGGCACTACAGAGGGTTGGGGGCTATGAGGTTCTGTGGAAGATCAGCGGGTTCTTTGGAAGTCTGGGGGGCTGTAGGAGGTCTGTAGACGATGGGGGGCTGTGGGACATCTGTGGAGGGTCAGGAGGTTCTTTGGAGGGCTAGGGGGTTCTTTGGACGGTCAGGGGCACTGGGGGCTCTGCAGAGGGCTGGAGGCCACGGTGTTCTCAGGAGGGTCAGGGACCACGGGAGCAAGCAGCACCTGGCTCTCCGCGGGTGGGTCGTACTGCCGCAGCTGCCCCAGGAACTCGAGGTGGTTCTTCTCCTCCTCCAGCTGGGCCACAGCCTCCTCGCTGGCCCGCAGGCGCCGCTGTGTCTCCTCCAGCTCTTCCCGCAGCCACGTGTTCTCCTGGGCCAGCCTCCGGGCGTTCGCCCGCAGCCGCTGCTTCTCAGCCTCCAGCGCACCCACATGCGCCGACAGCGCCAGCAGTACCTGCCGGGCGGGGGCACAGGTCAGGGCTGGGGCCTGACCCAGCCCAGGGCCTCCCACCAGGCCAGAGCACCCCAACTCTATCCAGGTTACCCCAGATTCTGCAGAGACCCCTCCAGTTGTGGCTCAAGAGATGCTCAGAGGCCCCCAGGGACATAGTCAGATCCTGCCCAGGGAACCCCGACGTCCACCGGGCACGCAAATCATGTTCAGGGACATTTCATGTTCTACCCATGCAATCCCAAAGTCTCCCCAGGACCCACAGATCTGTCATGCACAAAACCCCAAAATACCAAACCCATCGCCATTGAGTCGATTCTGACTCATGGCGACCCCATGTATTACAGAAGAAAAATGCCCCAAAGGGTTTTCTTGGCTGTAATCTTTACAGAAGCACATCACCAGGCCTTTCTTCTTCGGTACCACTGGGTGGGTTCGAACCGCCAACCTTGGATTAGTAGTTGAGCGCAAACCAACTGTGCCACCCAGCGACCTTCCCTGTCAGGCATAGAGACGCCCCCCAATGCTGCCCAGTGACCCCATCTTTGGCTTGGAGCTGCCACCTCCATACATGGCCCCCTCCCAGACCTGCTCCTCTTCAGTGCCCCTATAGCTAGGCTTCCTCCACCCCAGGCCGGAACCCCCAGCCCTGGCCCTGTACAGGCGCCTCCCCAACCCCAGACGTGACCCCCCAGCCCTGCCCCCGCACCTGCGTCTCCCCCAGCCCAGACCTGACCCCCCCAGCCCTGGCCCTGTACCGTACCTGCGCCTCACCCAGCCCAGACCTGACCCCCCGGCCCTGGCCCCGTACCTGCGCCTCGCCCAGCCCCAGCTCGATGGCTTCCAGCGAGCGGCTCACCACCTGGTGCTTTTCTTCCAGCAGCTCCAAGCCGGCCGCCGGGCCCTGTCCCACCAGAGCCTCAGCCAGGTGCCCGGCCAGGCCGCGGTGCTCAGCTCGCAACGCCTCCAGCCCCTGCGCCACCTGCCGCGTCTGCCGCACCAGCTCCTCAGGGCTCAGGTGCTCGGGGCCCAAGCCCACGTCGCCGGGGGCCGCCACCTGCACCGACATGGCTGCTCCCAGGGCTGCCGGGATTGGGGAGTCACTGTCAAGGCCAGAAAGGCCAGCCCCTGCCTCCACACCCATCCCAGCCAGCAGGACTTTCCCCCACCATCACAGGCTTTCCCCATCCCAGCCTGCCTCCCCATCCTGCCTGCCTATCCCGGCCAGCCCCCCGGGCTCCACACCCATCCCACCAGCGGAACCTCCCTGCCCCAACCTCTCTCCGTCCCAGCTGTCCCTCTGCCTCCATGCCCTGCCCGTCCCAGCCAGTCCCCTGCCACCACGCCCTCCCCATCCGGGACAGCTCTCATTTGGAAACATCCAAGTCCACCTTTATCTGTCAGGGCCCGGCCTGAGGACAACTTCCCAAACCCCACTAAGTGTAACTAACCAAGAGTGGGCAAGCAGCTGTCTCAAGGCCCCCACACCTGCCCTTAGCTCACCTGGCCAGCACTCCCCACCCCAAGGACCTGGGAGACCCTGACCCAGAACTCCAGCCGTGTGACTGGAACACACTGGGCGTGTGAGGCGGGGCATGTGGAGGCGGCAGGCTCTCCATGAGCTCATTCCCACTGTCTTTTTGTTGGGAACCAGTCAGACAACTGGGGATGGGGTGGGGAGGACAGGGCCGAGGGGCTAGAGTGCTGGAAGCAGAGGAGACTCTAGGTTGGGGGTGTGGTGGGGGACCCCATATGTCGGTTCCCAGGGCCTGAGGAGCTGAGGGTCCCTAAGGGAGTAGGGGCTCTGTCCTCCACCACACAGGCCCAGCGGGCCCAGGGTGTGTTGGGACACACATGTGGCAGGCGTGGCTTGTGGATGTCACACCAGCCCTGTGACAGCTGAAGGTCTGAGGCCCAGGTCGTAATGGGTGGGTGTCCCATATGTGGGACTTCCTGTGGATATATGTGGGTGACAGGTTCAAGTACCTAACTGGTAGTGCTTCTGGGACCCTCACACACACACACACACACACACACACACACTCCTCTCTCAGAAATACACCTCAACACACCCAAGCACACTCAGAAATACGATGCAATTCACACACACACACATTCCTCTCAGAAATACCTGTAACACACACTATCCCTTCTTTCAAATATGACGCAACACACACACACCCATACTCTCTCTCTCCTCTCAGAAACACAACTCAGCACACACACAAGCACACTTCCTTCTTTCAAATACAATACACACACACACCCCTCTCAGAAATGCAACTCAACAAACACACGTACACACTTTCTTTTCTTTCAAATGCAACACAACACGCACATACACACACTCGTCTCAGAAATACAACTCGACACACATTTTCTTCTCTTCTTTCAAATACAATGTAACACACGCATTCTCCTCTACTAAATACCACATATACACATACACACACGACACAGTCCCGTAAAAATACAATGCAATACACACATATTCTCCTTTTAGAACTATAACTTAATATGACATACTAACTCATACTAACTCAGAAATCAAACACACATATATACTTCCCTCCTGGAAATACAATCCAACGCAAAGGCACGTTCTCCTCTCAGGAATAACAGCCAGCACCCACAGAAACAAACTCTGTCTCCTCCCCCTATCTCCCTCACCTCAGAACATAGAACCAAATCCCTCACATTCAGACTGTCCCCTGGACCCCTACACTTGTCCCCACATCATACAGTCTCACACTCAAGAGCCCTGCAAGCAGACCACTCCAGCGCCTCCTGTACAGACACACACACAGCCAGGATTCACTGTGGACCTGTCACCATCTTACCCCGTTCCTCAAATGCTCCCTCGCCTCCTTGCCTGGACAGCCACACACTCACACACCTATACACCGCACACCACAGACACACACACATAGAGCTTCAAACACATCTGTGCAAATGACCCGTCCTCAGACTCAGCTACCCTGCCAGAAGCGATGCCCCCAGCACAGAGAGCTGTGACCACCCAGAAAAGGCGGTTCCCCGGTTTCCACACACATCCTCTCAGGTACACGTCACTGAAGCCACTGTGTCCACCGTGAGCAGCCCAGGTGGTTAGCACCTGTTAGCACACTCACAGTCATGCACACTCAGACATGTACAGGAGTCCCTGGGCGGTGCAGAGGGTTAGTGAGCTCGACTGCTAACTGAAAGGCTGGCAGTTGAGTCCACCCAGGGGCACCTTGGAAGAAAGGCCTGGTGGTCTCTTCCAGAAAAATCAGCCATTGAAAACCCTATGAAGCACGGTTCTGCTCAGACACACATGGGCCGCCATGACCAGAGTCAACTCAATGGCAACCGGTTGGTAGACACATACAGACAGGGCATGAATGGAATTCTGTACCTTGTATGTACCACAGACTTTTGATGGACATCAACCTCGGTCTCTCGCTCTCTTTCACATACACACATATTGTTGTTAGTTGTTGTCAAGTCAGTTCTGACTCACAGCAACCCCACATGTGCAAAGCAGAACTGCTCCATAGGGTTTTCAAGGCTGGGACCTTTGGGAAGAAGATCGCCAGGCCTGCCTTCCAATGGGCCTCTGGGTGGGTTCAAACCACCAACCTTTTGACTAGTAGCTGAGAGTTTAACCGTCTGCGCCACCCAGAGACTCCAAGCATTCATCTGTACATGTGTGTATGTGTGTGTGAGTGAGGTATATATATACGGTGAAAAACCTGTGAGAGCTGGAACTCGATGGGGCTGCCTTTTTTCCAGGTCTCGTAAATTTTCTGCATTTGACAGGGTGCAGTCTTCCCACTTTTCTATCGTCTCTACTAGTGGAAAATAGTTTAGTTCTCCTTCTCTGACAGGTTTCTGCCTTACACAGGTTCCAGCTTTCACAGGTTTTACTGTGTGTATATATATATATAAAATCCCACATCTCACACACAAGCCATAGTCAAACTCACAATCATACAAGCTAATCGACAGTCATCCCGACAACCACCATCATTATTCACACAGTTTTGCCATCGGACACAACCTCCCCCAAGGTCACACACCACCTCAGCCAGCCTGACCACCACGGTAAGTCAGGGTGACACCCCCAGCCCTCCCACAGTCACACATGGCTCAGGCAGTCTCCCCAACACACAGCATCTCCCACACTCATCCATCCACACAGCAGCCGATCCCCTTCATCTGCACAGTCCCCTATGCAGAGCCACACAGTGACAGGATGAGATCCACAGTCACACCTCACACATCAACCTGGATGTAGACGTCCTCTTCTTCCCTGTCACCCACCCCGGCTTTGTCCCACAGAGCGGCTGGAGGATAATCCCAGGCACACATCACTCGGACATCCCTTCCCCCAGCCCCACTCTCCTATGCCCACCCAGCCCCACCCACCCAGCCACGGGCGAGCTTTCACTGCAGATCCAGCCAGTCAGAGCAGCTCGGGCCGGGCCTGGTCACTTCCCTCAGTCCCTCTCCACACTCATGGCCTCACACCCACACGGTCCACACGTCCCAGCACATGTCCCAGCTCCCCGACACAGTCACACACAGCCACACGCACCTGCCACACAGAGTCAACCGCAGGCACATTCTCACTCACCAGGTCCCACGCGCACACCATGCCACAGGCAGAAAGACAACCACAGCCACACGCTTGGTCACACACATAAGCCTAGAAACAGTTCAGCTCCCTGTTATACACACAGCTTCACGCAGGGACGCACAACAAATAGCCGCTAGTGGTCTCATAAGTGTCATATCTTTTGTCCCGACTTAAAGTCCCACAGCCTAGCTCTACCACAAGCACACCATCCACAAGCAGAAAGTCAGCCAGAGCCACACAACCTCGTGATCACATACACAAAGTCCTGCAAACAATCCAACTCACACTTACGCACAGACACAGTCAGAAGGTTGCTCACATTTTCACCTCGCTGACGCTGTCCCACACACAGGCCCTGGGGTCCCTCACAGGGTGACACACACAGTCCAGCTCCCTTTCACACCCATACCCACAGCCTTACATCATCACACACACTCATACACACCAGAGCCTCTCACACCATCCCTCACACACACACACACACACACACACACACACACACACACACACACACACACACACACACACGCAGGTAGGCAGGGAGGAGGTTCCCATCATACCCGCCCCCCACATCGCTCACCCTTACCCCTGACCGACGGCCTAGCCCCGCGCACCCCGCTCCCCGCACCCAGGGATCCCTCCCTCCCCGCGCCCGTCACAAGGGCCCCCTTCCTCCCCCCTCCCCCAGGCCCCGCCCCGTCCTCGCTCCTGTTTACCTGCGCGCGGGGAAGGGGGCGCGGCCCCAGCGAAGCCCCCAGATCCGGGGGGAACCCCGGCGTGGAAAGTGGGCGCCCAGGGGCCCTAAGGCCTGTCCCGGTGGCCAGGCCAGCGGGCCCAGGGGTGCGCCCGGCCCGAGGCTCCTCCCTCGGCTCCCGCCCCCATCACCCTGTCCCTGGGCCCCCCCAACCCGCCCCCGGCGCCCACCTGACCGCTGAAGCTCCGGCACCCGCTCCGCCGCGCCCCAGCCACCTCGCGCCCGGTGGCTCAGAGCTGCACCGGGCGTCTCGGGCCGCAGGCGGTGACTCCGGGGGGCGGGGCGTCGGGGGAGCCCCGCCCCCGCAGGTGAGCTGGCCCCGCCCACCACCGCGGAAAGTTTCCAGCGGCTCCGGGGTTGGAGCCGGAGAACCTCCGCTGCAGAGCCGGGGGTCTCTAGGGCCCGTCGAATCTGAGGATGATTCCAGCCGCTGGAGGCCTGGAAACGAGGGTCGCAGCGGAGCTCGAATCTTGGAAACGTTGGATCCCAAAAATGATAGCCCTCTTTCTGTGCCAGCCGCAGAGCTTGGTTCTCTCTTCCTACAGACCTTCGAAGTTACAGATTCCATCGTCGTCAGGGCTGTTTCCAAAGGCCGCCTCCTCCGAGATGCCTTCCCTGACCACTCCATCTAAATTACACCCTCCATCAAGATGCTAGCTCATTTCCCTGCTTGATTTTGTTCAGCAAATATTTCAGGGTCTAAAAATGATTTTATATTACATATTATATCACATTACAATTATATTACGTTATTATATCACATTACGTATTACATTAATTTTATATTATATTAATCTGGCAATCTGCTCTGGTAAAGAT